AATATAGCTCACAGTTAATATATATACCATCTACATGGAAATACTGAACAAACTGGAGGTGTACATATTGATTACTGTTAATGTAAACACTCTCTCTATGAAAATACTGTCTGAGAGGGTTTGAGATAGTACTAGGCGTCCATCTTACGTGCATCCTCTTATAGAGTTAACAAGCTCCCACAAGAAAAAAGTTTGCACTGCCATCCGACAATTAAAAACGAACTTTATACGTGGACTTGAAATTGTCTATGTGGAAGTACTGTCTGAGAGGGTTTGATGTATTTGTTTTGGCGACGGGGAGACAGAAATATAGCTCACAGTTAATATATATACCATCTACATGGAAATACTGAGCAAACTGGTGTAAATATTGATTACTGTTAATGTACACACTCTCTCTATGAAAATACTGTCTGAGAGGGTTTGATGTATTTGTTTTGGCGACGAGGAGGCGGAAATATAGCTCACAGTTAATATATATACCATCTACATGGAAATACTGAACAAACTGGTGTAAATATTGATTACTGTTAATATACACACTCTCTCTATGAAAATACTGTCTGAGTAGGTTTGAGATAGTACTAGGCGTCCATCTTACGTGCATCGTCTTATAGAGTTAACAAGCTCCCACAAGAAAAAAGTTTGCACTGCCATCCGACAATTAAAAACGAACTTCATACGAGTGGACTTGAAAGCGGTTTAATAAAGGGTTAAAAGAAGGGCCGAGCGTCAAGGGAGTCCTCGCGACGAGGACGTATAGAATACAGAAATTTTTCAAGCCACGCGAGACGTTATTCGTACGCCCTGTACCGCGTCCTTACAGAGATGAAATGAGTCTTATCGATTGTTTACCATCGAGGAATGGGATCTGGGTTAGCTGTGAATCAAGAGGTAATCCTCGAGGAAACTAATCTCGAGTCGGGCGACCGTTTGGACGGTAAAATTCCGAAAAATGGCGATATTCGCTCGCGAACGATTCGTGCACCAAACGTAATCCCATCCGTGGAACGTTAAGACATGGGAAAACTGTTGGCGCATCGAAGACGAGGCACGTGGCCAGTGGATACCAACGAAATAAATAATTTCTCCCGTCGGGAATCCAGTTCCAGGTCAACAAACGTGGTATGTTGCGTTGCGCAGAAAATTAGCAATGCAAATGCTTTGTCCCATTTTACGGATGGCCAGCCTGTGTAAGCCTTGTAAGCCAGACCGAAGTCGCTGCTGCCGCACGTGCAAACGTAGTTAATGTTCCGATTTCGTGCGGGACTAAACCACTGACATAATATGGCGGAGTAAACACTCTGTCGAAATTCCAGAACATTCTAAACAGCATTAGACAGCCCGTCGTGCGTTATTAACTCGGTTACGAAAGAAGAATCAGCGGCCAACTTGCCGCGTCTGCTTCTCGTCTGGATTTTCCCACGCTGTAACCGAATCAGTTCAATGCCAGCAACTATTCGATTCAGAAGTTGCTCCAGACAATGCGCCGCGCAAGCGTCGCTTTCGATTCGAATCAAACGAAACGCAATTATCGAAGGGGACTCGAAACGGCCAGTTGATCCAACTATCGAGGAGCCTCGCGCGTACAAGTCGTTTCTAAACGTTTAACCGTCCTTTACGAGCATCTTCGGAAATTTTACCTTTAAAAATTCCCACCGACGGAATTTCCAACCTTTTTATCTTCGCTGTAGCGAACCGTCGGCGTTGTTGAGCGGCGAGATGGGAATTAGTTGTAACGATCGCGAAACTTCTTGATGTTGAATCGAGTAAGTCGGTGGCCGCAGAACTCTCTGCAGAGCGCAGAACTATGCTTTGTTCCTAAATTCCGTCTATCGGCCAGATCTGGGCAAGAACAGCCGTATACTCCGCCGAGGAAATGCGCATTAAAGAGGAAGGCGTGATAGGAGAGAGACGCGATACCTCGCAAAAGGTAGAGTTCAACTTTAAATGACGAATCAGTTGTTGGACTGTTTTCGCTCCGTAAACGTCTCTTGAACGATTAAGCCGAGGAAAGTTTAGCGTTTAATCGAAACGAGTTCGGTTCGCACTCTTCGTCGACCTTTGCTTCTATAGCATCGTATGGAATAACGGGTCCTTAAATCTCGACAAACGGATCGATTTTTCTATTAGGCTTACTTCGAATAAATATATGTCTTCGAGACGCGTAAAGCGTGCATCGAAAGTAAACGACGCTCGACTCGCGACGACCTGGTCGCTCTAGAAACGCCGTTCAAGAAAGTTTGATTCGAACGAGTCCTCCTGAGAATGTCACGAAACGAAGTTACGCGGGCAAAATGTCAGGAGTAGGCAGCCTAGTAATTTGATCGTTTCGAAAGAAGCCCCTTGGCTCCTTCCTCGTTTCGCATAAATATCGCTTGGGAGATGCTCCGTTTCGCGTATCGGTCCTCTCGGAACCACGTTAATGGAATTAACGAATTAACGAATTCGGAATTAACGAATCGTTAATGGAAAGAGAAAATGCTGTTTACTCGACAGATATACAATTCAATTACAGCCAGAAACACTTTTCGTAACCTGGCATAACAAATATAACGCTGCATATATATAACGAAAATATAACATTGCGTAAAGAAAAGAGAGAAGAACACAAACTAAAGAAATTAAACCGTCGGTACTTCCAAACGAAAATGGCCGTATGCAAGGCCGGATATCTGCGGGATGCTGTGGACGCTATGCACCGGGACCCCAACGTCGTCGAGAAGTGAAGAAAGTCGAGAAAAAAAGGCTCAAGAAATAATGTACTCTTGCGCATTGAATGAGTTATTCCTAAATAATCTGTATTGAAACTTTTCTTTACGTTGCTAGTTACTGTAGCAAGTACTGAACGCACTTTCAGCAAATTGAAATTAATGAAGAATTACCTTCGGTCACGCAGTAGCAAAAACAAAATCACACGTTAAATTAAACATGCATCACCTCCCGAACCACTCCTTTCAAGGTGTTACAACGTTTTTGGGACACTCACTATATACAGAGTGGAGGTGATTGGAAGCAACTTTTTCCTTGGCGAAAATGTTGTCCGAGGTTTCGTTGAGAAGATATTAACGGAAAACACTGACCAATCAGAGCGCGAGGATGCCGCG